TCCTGGGGGAAATTGAGGTGTCCGGGGTGGGCCAAGGGCAGGGTGGGTGGAGGGGACACTCCCACCCTGCTGCTGCCGGGTTTGTGCCTGGCTTCTGGGTGGAAAAGACCATCCTTGGTGATCCCAGAGCCTCCTTGATGGTCTTAGACATCTGTAGGTGGTTCTCATTTGTCATGGGTGTCCCTAGGTGTCCCTAGACTGTTCTAAATGGTCCTAGACTGTCCTAGGTGTCCCTAGACTCTCCTAGGTGTCCCTAGGCTGTCCTAGGTGGCCCTAGGCTGTCCTAGGTGGTTCTAGACTGTCCTGAATGTCCCTAGACTGTCCTAGGTGGTCCTAGACTGTCCTAAATAGTCCTAGACTGTCCTAGGTGGTTCTAGACTGTCCTTGGTAGTCCTTGGTGACCCAGCGCTGTCCTAGGTGGCTCTAGACAGCCCCAGGTAGTTCTAGGCAGCCCTAGGTGCTCCAGGGTGGCTCTAGATGGCCATAGGGGGTCTTTGGCAGCCCTATAAAATGCATGCAGGGAGCAGGGTGGCAGTGAGGGCATGGGTGGTGCTGAGCTCCAAGGTCACCCTGCCTGTGAGCCAGCAGGATGGGGTGGGTGCAGCTGGGCAGCAGCCCCTGCCCTCCCAAACCCTGCCCCACACTGAGCTGCTTTGGCTTTCAGCCCTCCCTCTCTCCCTGTGCAGGTGCTCGAAGCTTACAAGCAGGGGCTGAGGCCAGCCCTGGGCTATGAGCTCAACCCCTGGCTGCTGTGCCTGGCCAACTACCGTGCCTGGAGGGCCGGTTACCACGGCAAGGTGTCCTTCCTGAAAAAGGATCTGTGGAAGGTAACAGCATCCTGAGGGTCTGGGGTGCTCAGGGCAGGGCCAGAGCTCTGTTTGCATCTCCAGGATGGATTTGCTGATGGCTGCTTGCTCCTTCCCCATCCCACACTGCTCCTGGGAGGTGGAAATCCATCCTCCTTTTCAGGGAATGCCAGCTGGGGCAGCAGCCTGTGGCCAGTTCTGCTGCATGGAGCAGCTCTGAGGAGAGGTCTGGGTGCTGCTGACAGGCTCACCTGCAGGGATGAGCTTCTCAGGCTGCCCTGAGGTATCTGCAGCCTGAGCAGAGAGAATCCATCAGGGAATGTGGGTCTGGGAGGTGCTGGAGGCAGGTGTTTCCCAAGACGTGCTGCTTTCACACCCACACTTCCCCGTCCCACATCTTTTGTGGCATCTTTGATCCCTGCAAAGTTCCAAAGATCACCCACAAGGTTTGGACGCTCAAGCAGCTGTTCCTGCTCTGCCTGCTGCTCGTTATTCCCCTTTTCCTTCTGTTTTAAGGTGAATCTCTCTGACTGCCATAACGTGATCGTGTTCCTGGCCCCCAGCGTGGTGAGTCAGCCCCTCACACCCTGAGTCCTTCTGGGCCAGCTCCAGGGGGCTTGTCTTGGGAAACAGAGGTGAAATAAGGGTGGAATGGGTGGAATAGGGGGTGGAATAAGGCCAGGTGGGCATCCCTGTGGCTGAGTGGTTTGGTGCTGCACAAATTTGGATTTATGGAATGATGTAGGTTGGAAAATCCCTCTGGGTTGAAGTCTTGCAGTTCCTCCAGCACTGAGCCATGTTCCCAAGTGCCACATCCATGTTAAAGCCCTGCAGGAAAGGTGACCCCACCACTGCCCTGGGCAGCTGTGCCAGTGCCTGACAGCCCTTTCAGGGAAGAAATTTTCCCAATATCCAACTTGAACTTCCCCTGGTGCCACTTGATGCCGTTCCCCTTGTGCTGTTGCTCCAAGTCCCAGCCTTACCTCGGGCCAGTACCGGCCCTCTGCTTTGAAGGGTAGATGTCCCAGAGGATCCCTGGTGGCTCTGCCACTGTGTGACTGTGTCCTAATGCCGCCTCCTGTCCTTGGCTGTGTCTCTCTCCCCAGAAGCCTCCCTTGGCCACCAAGCTCCTGGCAGAACTGCCCGACGACGCGCGGGTGGTGGCCGGCCGCTACCCCTTCCCCTCCTGGAGCCCCAGCTGCACCCTGGGCCAGGGCCTGGACCAGGTCTGGGCCTATGACATCAAGGAGGTGCGGAGGGAAGTGCAGGACAGGGCCCAGCAAAGCCAGGGCTGAGCCCAGCCTCGTTAAGCCTGGTTTAACAGCAGCCTCCTTAAGCCTGGCATTAAGGGTCAGTGCCACTCCAGCCCTTGGCTCAGCTCAGGACAGAAGTGCTTGGCCAGCATTTCTCCTGGGGACTTGCAGGGTGGCAGATCTTCATTTTCCAGAGTGTGAGCAAAGCAAGAGAGGAGAAAATCAAACCTGGAAATCCTGGGGTTAACGCAGGATTTAAGGGATGAAACTCCAGTGCCTCTTTTTAGATGATTGCTGCTTTATTTCAATTGAAGTTTTAAAAATAAAATTTTGATTGATTGTTCCTCTGAGGTTTTTGCTTTGTCTTTGAGCTGCTGGATGGTCCTGGAGTTGGAGCAGCTGCTGCTCCTGGCTTTGCTCTGCCATCCTTTCCAGCTCACTTGCATGCAGGATCAGTTTGGCCCTGCTCATCAGTATAATGCTCACTCAAGCACAGGGGAAAATGGGGTTTTCCCACCACAGAGGCACAGAAGCATGGAATGGGCTGGGTTGGAAGGGATCTTGAAGGGACCTTGAAGCTGCTCTTGTTCCTCCCCATGCCATGGGCAGGGACACCTTCCACTGTCCCAGGCTGCTCCCAGCCCTGCCCAGCCTGGCCTTCGGCACTGCCAGGGATCCAGGGGCAGCCACAGCTGCTGTGGGCACCCTTTCCCCACCCTCCCAGTAAAAGAGCAGCTCATCCCTTTGTCCAGGCCCAGAACAAATCCTGGTCTGAGCCAGCCTGGCTCTGTCTCAGGTGAGGGGAGCAAGGCAGGAGCAGCCCTTGGTCCAGGTCCAGGTCTCATCCAGGGAAAATATTCCATCAGGAGCAGGAAGCTGTCCCTGCAGCCCAGCAGTGCAGAGCTGCCTGGGACCCCTGCCTGTGTCCCAGGGGTGCTCAGGGAGGAGCAGAATTCCTGCAGGGCACAGCCCAGCCGCCGCTGTCTGGTCTCATTTCAGTCCTGTGAATTCAGAGCAGAAACACCCACGAGGTTTCTCTGGCTGTTCCCACTCCCAGCCTGAGCAGGATCCATGGCTGGCACTCCATGGGGCACAGACCTTCCCTGCAGTTCCCAAGGCTGGGGCTGCTCTGGCTCCTGGCTGGCACTGCTGGCATGGGGCACTGGGGGCACCTCGCTGCCCTCTGCCTTCCTCAGGCGCAGGATCTCCTGCTTGTACCTGCAGTGGAGGTGCCACTGTCACCATGAGCAGCGTGGAAGTGCCACTGCCACCACTCACAATGGGCAGTGTGGAACTGCCACTGTCACCATGAGCAGCGTGGAAGTGCCACTGCCACCACTCACAATGGGCAGTGTGGAACTGCCACTGTCACCATGAGCAGCGTGGAAGTGCCGCTTTCACCACACATGTGGAAGCCCAGGACACCACAGGGAATATTTCTCTGTCTGCTCTGGGGTGCCCTGACCCCCAGGGGAGCACTGACTTTGACCCTCATCCATGGAGAAAGTTTCCCAGACTTCAAGATAAACTAGAATCCACAGAAATGTAAAATAGATTATAGAGAGTAGTGTAGGTGTGTCACTTGGTGAGAAATTGAGGTTTTGGGATTTTTAGTGTGTTGTGGATGGAAGCAAGATGGAGGGCACAGGGTGTTGTCCTGGGTTTCTTCTTCATGCTCCTTCTTCCTTCTTCATGGGTTTGGGTGGCATTTTGTAATTGGGCAGAAAAGTCTGCATTGTGGGCTCTGTGGGATCAGATATTGGGTTAAAAGGGAAAATAATCCAGGTGTCAGCTCTTAACTGGATAGTTTAGTCTTAAGAGACCTTGTACCAAGAGATTGTTGGCCATTTTGTGCCTTGTTGCTGAACTCACAGTAGTGAAACTGTTTTAATGGTAAGAAATAATAAATACCTGAGTCCAAACATGAATTACTATCTCAAGTGCCTTCAGTCCAGACTCAGAGAAACCCACAACTGGCACCCCCACACTGCTCCCTGGGCAATGAGCCATGCCAGGGGCTGACCTGGCACCCAGATCCCGCAGCCTCGCCCAAGGAAAAGGTGTTCATGGGCTGTGCCAGGCAGGGGCAGAGCCTGACCCAGCCCAGGAGCAGGGGGATCGTGCCCTGCCACCCCTGCCCTGCTGGTCCTGTCCCTCCCTGCTGCTCTCCCTGCTCCAGGGCAGGATGAGCCAGGGAAGGGGAGCACAGACCAGGGGCAGCTGGGAGGACTGAGGTTACAACCTGGGAATAAAAGAACTCTGAAGATTTTAGGCTTTAGGTTCAGCTTTGGGTTTTAGGTTCCTATGAAGGTTGCAGGGAAACCTTTAGAGTGCCTTCCAGTGCTTAAAGGGGCGCCAAAAGAGTGGGAGAGGGACTTTGGACAATGGCATAAAGTGACAGGGCATGGGGAATGGCTTCACACTGCCAGAGGGCAGGGATGGATGGGATATTGGGAATTAGGAATTGTTCCCTGTGAGGGTGGGCAGGCCCTGGCACAGGGTGCCCACCCTGGATCCCTGGCAGTGCCCAAGGCCAGGCTGGGCAGGGCTGGGAGCAGCCTGGGACAGTGGGAGGTGTCCCTGCCATGGCAGGGGTGGCACTGGATGAACATTTGTGTCACTTCCAACCCTTTCCATGACTGTGATTCCTCCCAAGGATGGGCGAGCTCACAGGATGGACACCTGTGGTGTGTGGGGAGCGTCTGTCCTGCTGCCCTGTGGCACAAGAGAGGGTGGCAGCTGCCTGCACAGCTGCAGGAGCAGTGGGACATGGGCAGTGCTGTGGCAGGGCCAGCAGTGGGCACGGGCCAGCACTGGCACAAGCCTGGAGGGGGCTGTCCCCCCCTGTCACCTGGCAAGGTGCTGGTCGATGTAGCCCTGCAGCTCCAGCACCTGCTCCTCTGCCACCACAGCCCGGGTCAGCAGCTGGCTCCTCTGCTGCTCCAGCTCCTCCTGCAGGGCACACAACATGGAGAAAACGTGGAAAAAAAGAGAAAAAAAGAGATAACTGCCATGGCAATGATGCTGCTCAGCCTCTCTCTGCTGTGTGAGTCTGATCTTCCAACCACTTCCCCATCACTCCAACCTCTCTGCCATGACTTCTCCCTTCTTTTGGCCGCAGAGGCAGGCCCCGTGCAGGTGTGGAGCTTTACACTCTCGAGAAACAAGCTTTACACCCCCAAAGAATGAACTTTACACCCCCAAAGAATGAACTTTGCATCCCCAAGAAATGTTGGAGCACTCCCTCAGGTTGCTGTGTACAGGGAAAGGCAGCACATGGAAGGGAATATCCAGGACATGGAAGGGAATATCCAGGACATGGAAGGGAATATCCCTGCAGCCAGCAGGAACCAGCCTGGGAAGCTGATTCAGATTCAGCCTAGACTTGAACCAGGTCAAATAGAATCAAAAAATCGTGGAATTGTGTAGGAATTCACGAGGATCCAGGTGTTAACCTGGCACTGCCAAGGCCATCACTGATCCGTGTCCCCAAGT